TGGTTGCACAATGTGACCTTCCTTACTTTTCTCCCCAAATGACTTCTAAACGGCTCGAAGTGGCAACACTAACCTGCGCATAGTTGTAGGCAAATGGATAACCAGCCTCGTGGTGCAAGAAAACACGACATATATTTGTGTCATGAACCGGTAGCGGATATAAGTCAGTTCATAGATGCTAGTTGCCAATCCATTGGGCAGCTTTCAGTCAAATTCAACAACAGAGTTTTGGACCAAGTCACAACTTTGGGATGCTTTCGTAACCAAAAGACGACTGAAATTAGTATTGTAACCAATTTTATTGCGTTTGGCTGGGCCATGAAGGTCAGATCAAGGTGAAACAAAACAAGTTATTGACTTAAAATCATGTTTTACGGGATAGATTTCACGCTCATTTCACGACGCTCTCTTAAATTCCCTGATCGCGAAGACGCTAACGGATTTCTTATGTTGGCTGTATGAGGGCCAGTTACTTACAATGACCTGGATGAACGTTTTGCCATTGGGAAACCTAGCACTTTTGGTAGCGCTTGACGCTCACTTTAAATAAAAACAAAATTTTCCTGGAGACTTTTGCCATTTCTACCCTCTGAAATTCAGCTAAGTTACTGAATTTAAATGAGCCCGACTAGGTTTCTGCTTAGATAATATAACGAAGTTAAATTTGGTTGTATCAGGAGGTCTGAGGAAACATTCCATAATGCTGTCGAGCTCGACGAGTTGTCCAGTTGTTGTCCTAGTTGTTGTCAGTTTGTCTATTGTTGACCGAATTAACCCGAAGGTCACCATTATATGCTAGCATGGCACACAACTAGGCTGCATTAAGTTCTACCTAACTTTAAATTGTGATGAATCTAGGTCTATTTTTACATCCCAGGGTGCCAAAACTGATCCCCACCCCAAGTGCCTCGTGTTTAACCGGCCATCCGGGAGCATGCTTAAGTATCTAAAACCCTTACAAATACCCCAGACAAGCATGAAACGAAGACACGAGCAATTACTGATTTCTGCGTTCTTTCCGGACTACAGAGTGAGACGTGTACGTACTCAACGATATTTACGATGAATCAAACCATTCGTTGCAAAAACAAGCAAGCCTGAGTCAGTCTCGCATAAACGTACGCAGATGCGACACGCCACCCCTGAAACCGCGCGCCCGCGAACGACTCTAGACTCACCGCTCTGCACCATGAGCCGCGCGTCGTTCTCCGCCTCCTCCAGCTCGTTGCGCTGCTCCTCCCAGTGCCTGGCTGCTCTTCTCCATGGCCCGGGTACCTCTCGGTCAGCTCCTGCAGCTCGCCCTCCGCGCCCTGCGTGCCGTCCGTCTGCGTCTGCGCGGTCAGCAGCGAGGCTGGCGGTGGCGGCCGGCTGACTGCCGGCTCCGGCGCCGACGGCCGGTCGGCGGCGCCGACCGCCAGCGGCCGCGGCGACTGCGCCAGCTGCAGCTGCAACGCTCGCCAGCCGCGCGATCTCGCTGGTCAGGTCGACCGGGTCGCCCGGGCCGCCTGAGTGGCGCGCCGGCGGTTCGTGTGTCGCGTCCTCTTCGCCGACCTCCCGCAGCTCCGTCGACGGGCTCCGCGGCTGGCGGCTCCGTCTGTATGGCCTTGTCCACGGCGTCGCTGCCGGGGCGGACTCTGACCGAGTCTGGACCCCGCGGGGAGGGCGGTGGGCGGGCGCGCGCCGTCTCCAGCGCTGCCTCCAGCTCCAGCACCGTGCTCTGCAGAGAAGCCATCTTCTGCCGAACAGAGAGGCCGCAATCAGCTGGTGGGCCTTGAGTCGCGACGAGACACAACGCCGGAGGAGATATGCAACATTGTTATCAATAATACAGTTAGAGTACGACTCTCACAGGTCTAAAACATGAGGATATTTCGAGCACCTGTACGTGCAATAACTTCCTGTCCACTCACGACGAATGCCCGAAGTTTTAAGCGCCATTCATACTTGTATGCTCAGCGTTGTAGATTTTGCCGCTACCATGGCCATGCGACACGATCCACACCCGGCACTCCGCACCGATCCGCACTCTTCGCAATGCACCAGCAAGCCCGCACGCTGGTTCACCGTCCCACACCCGCCGACACTTTGCACAGCCCTCTGTCACCTGGTCCCACCATCACGCCTGTCCACGGACTGAGCGCGTGGGAGTGCCCTGGTCCACTATAGCGGCCTCCAATCAGCGCTCAACACACGGCAATAGGGCCAAGGCTTGGCCTGGGAGCGGCGCGGCAGTGCAGGGCGGCGGCGGAGCGCGGTGCGGCAGTGCACGGCGGCGGCGGAGCGCGGTGCCGGCCGCCGACAATGGCGGCCGCCGCTGGGCTCGGCCGCTCACGACCATGCGCCAATTCAGGAGCGCGTGGCGCACTGGGCGCGGGCGGGGCCTCGGTCCAGGCCTGCTCCGTTGACGACGGTATGCAACTGACGTATCTCCTGCTCGCGATGAATGCGGGGAGGTCGGTGCGAGAGGAGAGGGAAGCGAAATCCCGCGGACAGTGACGGCGCACGCGGCCACCTGGTGCGCATTCGATCCTGCAGGCCGTGGCAGCTGGCGATATTCGGCGAAAGCTTAGTGCTGGTTTCCCTTGCACCTGGCAAAAATCTCCTCTGAGATAGCATCTTGAAGGAAAGTGGACTTGCAACACAGTCGCATATCTCATGTCGTGACACTTTTCAGGTTGAGTACTCATACAACCTTTGAAAATGTGTTGATCTATAGTATACTCATTAAGTATTTGTACAATCTACTTGCAAGTTGGAGGTCCTAATCTCCATCTCAAGGATGCTCACAGAAGCCAACTGATCAGACAGCCTACGGTTAACAGCATCCCTATCCCCCCTGGTACTTTGACAGGCGGAAGCTCCAAGTACTGTGAGCGGTGTACATCCGTGACAGTGACCCTGCGATCCACCACCAGGTCAACGCCAGGGGCACACTCCGCTTAATTGACGGCCCACCGCCCGCTGCCAGACTGTGAGGACTTCCTGACTGAAGGTGCCTTCGGAAAGTTTGAACGAGTTTGTTATAGTTTTCTCCGAACTACTATGATTGGTTCGTTGCAGCTTTTCTCTGCGATCCACATTTATGAATTAGTGTCATATTATCAATTTACTGAGAATTATATGCATAAAGCCATTGGACATTGCCGTTTGGATATTATAATGCTATGTTTACTTGTAATAGGTGATGATATCCTACGTCGGTTGAAAAGTTGCAATCAGTGGGGATTTAATGCGTCTTATTCAGCGACCTAGGAGAAAACGTGCTCGCAAGATCGTAATTTTTAAGACATAGTCCAACAAATACGCTGTCATTTACAATTTGTGCATGATATTGGTTGCTGCAAATAGCTGAGTGAACAATCGTAAAATTATGACGAAAGGCTAGGATCAATCTATCCAAAACAGCACAAAACGACCTACTCTGGATGTGACTTGTGGGTCTCGCGTAGTGAGAACACATACGGAGAAGATGGACACCCTAAAAACATGCGCAGCTTGATACATTCACCTGCGTTCAGGAATGCACATCGTTAGGAATGCTGGCGCTCAGTGTTAGTTTAACCTTTGCAGGAGGCCTCACGTCACGGTTCATGGTGGGGTAAAAGGTGCTCCGCACGGGTTGTCGTATGCCTTGCAATGGTGAATGTCAGGTCCGCGGTCAATAACCAGGGCATTGCTCAACACCAGGGGACGTTATCACAAGTGCACAGACCATAGAAAGGTCGAGGGACTACATCCAGATTCAGACAAAGGGATCGTGCTGTCAGCGCTGTATTTTACGTTGGACTTTGCCTCGTTTCAGCTGGGTTTGGATCGGGGGTCACGTTATGAGAGGCTATTATATGAGCCTATATATGGGAGGCTATCTAGAGGTTAGAGAGGTTATTAGAGGTCCGGTTATCTGCCTTTCACGACGGAAATACAAACAGGCATCTTGGACTGCTTACCAAATGGTGAGCAAAAGAAGATGCTGGCATGCTTAATATATAGCATGTATTTTTGAAAAACAACGATGACGTCTGTACCCACATCATCAACTCTAATGGGGCGCGTCGTCCGATTAAATTTGTACATCAGTCTGATGGTCATCCTTTGTCCAGATGCCTGCTTTCCCACGGGCGTCGACAGACAAACCTGCTGCCATTCATGGCGCTCCGTGTTCAGGTCCACCTGCTGCTGCTGACGCTCATGCTGCTGCGTCTGCTGTTTCTGCTGTTGCTGACTCGCAGTGTCTGGTACACTGGTCGTCTTTTGCTGTTTCCGTTGCTGCGGCTGGTCAGCGGGTCTGGCGAGGTCTGGCTCCCTGGCGGCGGCCGGCTGCTGCTGCGGCAGCGCCGGCTCGGCAGGGCCGGCGGCCGCGACGGCATGACGGCGGTCCTCGCTCACCGCCTCCAAAGTCTGTCGACACAGAGACAACGCCTGCATGAACGGACGTACAGCGGGTGCCGCCTGGCTTGGCTTGGCGAGGCCTGGCTTCGCTCACTGACAGCCGCTTCCCAGCCTGGACATGAGCTTTCGATGTGAGCACTGGTGAGGCCTTGGCGAGCATGGCCAAGGAAAAGCCGGGACACAATCGAAGCTTATTTAACTTTAAATCGCACGCAAAATTCGCTCATAAGATCATTTGTTTCGCACTTAATTCATTTCAGGTGATGTGATTTAATAAACATCCGTGATACTCAGTCGAAGCACGCCTCTCTCGATGGGCGAAACTGAGGCAACAATATGGGCGAAACTTTCCACGCCGTTGCCTCCGAATAACCTCAAAGGATGGGACAGTCATCATGACTGCATCGTGTACAGCCCTTTGACAGTATAGCAGCCGATTTCGCCGCGGCTGCGGTGCAGAAACGCGACAGGATAGTGGCGCTTTATTGACGAAAGTTGCCGCAGCTTTCTGCGCTTCCCGACCCAAAGGTGCTGTTTGCGGTCACGCCATCCCGCGACCGTGCGATGTTTTCCGTGGCGCACAAAGGTCTCTGGGCGGCGCGTTTTTCCCTGCACGCTCATTATACACTAACTGCACCTGCGGCTCTCCTAATTAGTGCCGCTCCTCCAAAAAACACTGGCCTTCAGCTGCAGCAAGCGGTTACCCTCCAAGCCCTGCGCAGAGCATGGTAGGACCATCTGGTGCCATCATAGTGTAATTGCTTAGCATAAGCTGAGATGACAGCAACGCGTAAAAGTCAACATATCTTTGAGAGCTTTGACAGGACAAGGGTTTGCCACCAGGACCACCGGAGACAGTTGGCAAACTGGCCCGGCCGTGCTCTCCTACGCGACCCAAAACTATATTCACGCATAATTCACAGTGCAGATTTGCATAATTTACAGAACGGCGTAAAAGCCCAAGCCGCGTTTGTGCCCAGGAGCGCACCGGTCGTTATGCTTATTTTCGGACCACCAGCGACGAAGATCGTGTGAAATCCTCATTGATGGTTCCTAGAGGCGCGAACTTGGTGAGACGCTGGGCGCCTGGTCCCCGGCCGGTCTGACAGGGACTAGCGGACCGCGGTCCGGTTGGGCTTTCCCGGAGACCGCCAGACGGCACTCCGCGCAGCGGGCAGGACAGCGACGGCGGGCAGGACAGCGACGGCGGACAGGGCAGCGGCGGCGGACAGCCTGCGCGGTGGGCGGGGCGGTGGCGACGGGCAGCCCGCGCGCCGTGTGTCCGAAACCCCGCCCACTTCCGGCTGTGATCAGACAAGTTTCCCACGCGCCCCCCCCCCCCCCCCCTCCACCAAGGCGCCGATGGGTACCGAAGCAGCTGACAGAAACATGTGAGCCACTCGACTTCCTCGGCCCCTTCAGCGCGTCATGACGAGCGCGGCCGCAGCACGAGTGAGCGTTTCTTGAGGCATGATGGGATTTTCGGCCGGCCCGGACTGACCGTCACATTTTATATTAGAATTGCGCTTCCTTTGAACGGTGGTTCATGCAAGTTTTAACGATAAGAAGTCTGATTATCTAAAACCTGTCTTATATGGATTGTCAGGCATTTGCGTGCACGCCGTATAATCAAGGGATTTTTCTCCGGAGTAGTGCAAAACCACTAGGATTTCATCACCTCAGCTTACAAATATGAAAGTGGTTCCTTATATGTTTACAAATGGGAACAACTGAAGAGCACTGCACAAGGCCGCGACCACGTCTCAACGACCGTCACACAAGGCCAACAGGCCTTGATCGGGGAGAAACGCATAATCACATAGCCAAAAATGTGAGCGGACGTGTAGAGAAACTCTCGCGTTCTCGTGATCTTGTGGATCTTGTGGAAAACTATGGATCCAGCTGGACCCACCGTTTCGAAGGCAGAGTTTGTGCTACATCTTAGCAACCATAGCAAAGGAAGGCGCAACACCAACTGTACGATGCAGACGATTATACCGGCTATTGTTTGCTGAGGGATCCCACAGCAGTTCAACACAGAGGCCTGTCAATAATCGACCCGAAACGGGTCGGTGTTGCCGTTTCCAAAAACCGACTTCAAAAACAAGACTGAGGCCTGAGACGCGACAGATTGGACCTTGGGCACTACACAGATTTGTAGCACCTGTCTGTTGTGACCAATATCTACCCGCGATGTATCTGTTTGTTCAACATTCATCATTACGAGCACCGTAAATTATTTCAATTTTTTCAAAGCTATTTTACAACCAATTATATCCTCCATTTAGACTACAGAGGCTTCAGAAATTCATAGCTATCAATTTCTTAAGCATCTGTAGGATGGAGCGCGAGTGCTTCATCAGTGAACTAAAGCCCGTTGAATTTTCATAAATGTCGATTTCAACACAATGAAGATAGCTTTTGGTATCGGTTGCAGAAGGCACCTTGCTTTGCTATTGCTTCAGCCTTGACTTCCTGCAGCCTCAGCAGTTGGCACTATATGCATAACAACTTGCAGCTTTCACATATGCTATCTCCTCGCTCGCCCCACACCGCATAAAACGTCTTGCAGGTGTCATACTGTCAGTTTAGATTGCAACTCTGATTACAACCAGAGCAATGAACCATCTCAAAGTACAACCGTGTGCTGTGCAGCGCTATGAAACTTGATTCTAACTACACGCTAATCGGTGGTTCGCCCAACAAACAACCAATGAGAGAGAATTAAACGCTGTGTGATAAGGTGCTTGTGAAAGCGTCCGTACGATAAATTGTTCGGTTCTAACTAGACGCCTTCTTCTTCATGTCACAATCTTCAACGATAACAAGAGTATGGTTGGGTGTCGAATTTTAGCAGCCGATGACGAATGGATAGCGAACGGATACGGCCACAGCCGCATGGATAGCGGGTGCATCGTGTACAAAAGAAGAAAAAAAACTCTACTTCTGGCAGCTCTGAGTGGAAAGAGCACATTGATTCAGAATATGATGTCCTACAAGAATTTCAGGGGAGCTTCTCTGAGTGAGCTTCTTCTTCACCTGCCCTTCGCCGTTGTTATACAGCAATGATTTTTATGAATGCGTCAACGTTCAACAAGGCTGCCTACATTTTTGGTCCAGAATATGCACTGCACCAGACAGCCAAATGCGTGCAAACCCATGCGTCAGTTTGCCCACATGGCTATGTGCGCATGCGCGCAAACATGTGTCCATACGCTTGCCCACACCCGACCGCAGAAGCACCTCATGGCTTCTGGCTATGTTGTTGAAAACGCCTCCTACCAAACTTGTAGCAGGGCACAGGGTGTCCTAGCACACATTTCCGTGTGAGCAAATGACTGCAAATGTTGACATCATTAAGTCCGTTACGACGCCCAATCACACCAGCTACGTGAACAATGCTAATGAGGACGTCTCGCCGGCTGGCTGACATTCCCACGTCGCTCACAAACAAGCGTCGTCCGGCCTTACGGACCGCGCAGGGGTGTCAGGTCAGCTCCCAGGGCGCGGGTACCGTACACCTGACACCGCAGCCAGAACGCCAGACATGTGCTGGCGGTGACATCGGTCTTGGTGGAGTGAGCGGCCGTTCAGGACACCACGCCCGGGTAATAGACAGATATTATATGGCTCAGTGCAACAGCTGCGATGCTAGTACAGCACGGCCCGCGACACCCAAGGCGCAACATGCTGCTACACGGGTCGGAGTGCGTTGGCAGTGAGAAGCTGCTCTGTTCACTCCCCGTGCTTGACATCCGTAATTGAGTATGGCATCCGTGTCAATAATTACACCTGAAGGGATAGTGAAAACCGTCCTGCGTGATCAGTTGCTCTGAACATCCCCGTAAACAAGCATACTGGGAAACCTGGATACGTGTGTCTAACATTAAGTCTGCGTGAGACGCGTCAGGCCTGTGGCCAGACTCCCCTGAATGCGGGGGTTGAGTGCCCCTCGCCGGCGCACGGCATCGGCCGTGCCCCCGGCCTGATGGGGCAGACCTCGCCGCCAGGCGTGACGTCAAACCCCGGGGGCTATGGCGTCAGCCAGGCTGACGTCATCGCTTCATGAGGCCAGGCCACGCAATGGCAGCCGATGCATGAGGCTCGGACGGCCCTGCACGGCACCAACACTAAAAACACCCAGCGCAACGGCGCAGCAAGGACTGGACCTGCCCTGACTCGACCCGACGCGAATGTGGTCGCCTGTCGCCACATGTGGCAGCCGGCCGAGCGCCCGAGACAGAGCGCCGACCGGCCGGGCAGCACAGGTGGGTGACGTCAGCGCTCGTCGCCGAGCTGGGCGGAGCCGGGCCGCGGCGGGCGCGTGGGCCTGGCCGGCGCCGCCGCCGAGCTCGGCCAGCGCGCGTGGGCGGCAGCGGAGGTGGTGACCGGCTCGGCTGAGGACGCGGGGTGCGCCCAGGGCCGGCGGCCGGCCGGGGGCGGGCACACCCAGGCACCGAACACGGGCCTCGCGACCGGCCGCAGGCAGCTGCCAGGACCGCCGCACACACATACACATACATGCCGGTGGCGGCTGCTACACACACACTCTGGGCCGCACACATATTGTGCTGCTCATGCACCGCAGTTCGCTCCGGCAGGACGGACACGGACTGCTCTCTGGTGCAGCGGGCTGGAACTTACCACGGCGAAAGCTTGATGTCGCAGTGGCCGGACCTTTATAGCCAGCTGGCGCCACTCCAGGCCGGGCTTCGACCCCAGCCGAAACGCCGCCGTCGGCGACATGACCTGGCCTGACCTGACCTCCCGCCGGCGGTGCGCCGCGCGGCGGAGGCGGTGCGGCGGGAGCCGGGCAGTGCACTCTCCCGACAGCCAGCGGTCGGGGTCCGCGCGCGCGCGCCGCGATCAGGCGACTGACGACGACTGGGCAGCCGCTCAGGTGCGGGGTAAGGAGTCCGCACCAGTGGCCTGATCCAGGACCGTTCGCTGGACGTCCGATTCGAGGCGAGCGGCGGTCAGGTCAGACGGCGGTCAGGTCAGACGGCGGC